GCTGTGTTGCTGTGTTGCTGTGTTGCGGTGTTGCTGTGTTGCTCTGTTGCTCTGTTGCTCTGTTGCTCTGTTGCCCTGTTGCCCTGTTGCTCTGTTGCTCTGTTGCTGTGTTGCTGTGTTGCTGTGTTGCTGTTGCTGTTGCGGCTGCTGCTGCTGGTGGTGTAGTTGGTGTTGGCGTTGTTGGCGTTGTTGGCGTTGTTGCTGTTGCTGTTGCCGCTGCCGCGGTTCTTCCTATTAAACTTGTTCTTCTTGCTGTTGCTGTTGCTGTTGCCGCAGAGGAGGTAGGAGGGCAGTGCACCAGGTGACTGTTGAGCAACCACTGGGAACTCTTCAAACCAAATGGCGCATATCTTCAGCAACTGCTTAGACTTGGTGTCAAAGGACAACACCTTATCCAGCAAGACATCCAGAAGCTTTGTGCAAGGTGCTCCAGGGCGGCCCGTGGCGAGCTGGAGCAAGCCAAGACAGCCAAGATGGCAGTTTTAGCGGGACCAAAATTAACTCCTCAGCGCCAGCAAGGAATAAGCATCTAATCCAACCAACACTGTGAAAGGAGCCACAACATCGCCCATCAAAATACTGGTCCAAGTGGACTGGTGCGTAAAAGCTCCAAGCATCGCAGCCTTTGCTGAGGATTGTTTATTCAAGCCAGTAAGCGAATGGCCAAATTTCTGGCTTCCAGCTGTGGAGGTGCTTGGATGTGCTTAGGCAGTTGCCGAAGCAATCCGGCTCATGAGTGAAGCCCCATCCTGGAGCCGGGTTCCTGGGCACAGGGTGGGGTCTCAGATGCTGCCACAAAGCAGAAATCGCTTCAGAAGCACAGCGTGGGAGCAGAGTCATCGCTGGTCGCATTCCCAAGAAAACGGTGCCTGCAAGGAACTCCATGAGACCGGTAAGCGCATGAACACAAAATCTCTGTGGGACCCCCGCTCGCAAGTCAACTGCCCTGCAAGTACAGCGCCCCAGGGCCACCGCTGCAGAATCCACGGTCCATGGCAAGAAAATCTTAAAGCCAGGGCCACTCAGCCTCAATTATAAGAGAAAGATACGAGGCGAGTAGCATGCCGTCATGGTCTGCCATATCGCACGCTTGCTTAATGTCAGCAAACAGCAAGTGCGAGCTCAAACCCTGGAACTTACGGGTTTGCGCATGGGGCACAACGACTGAGACGACCGGCACGGGGTGTCCAGCTTAAACCCCCATCTCACTGTGACCGGAAAATGCATCCAACAGGTGTTTGCGCCTGCCCGACCAGAGGGCATCCTGGACCCTTGCCAAATCAGCCGTCAGGCTGATAGGACGGACGCAAGAGATTGTATCGACCACCTTGTGGCCACTCTCCCTTATGGGCGAAGTGCAACGAGTCGACCAACTGGTGAGAGTTACTTCGCCAATCCGTCCGACCAAGGCTACCAGAGCCAGCGTAATGTATCTTGACTGTCCTATGTCCGCTTTCTCAAAAGACCATGGATGCAGAGCATCTTTGAGACAAAATGAGATGTCGCACTCCCGACACCAGCTGTTGAAGTTGGCCATGGAAGCAAGGAACATGCCAACAGAAGCCCAAGCAGTGCTACGAACCCCAGTCCAAATAGATCGCAATCCAGCAGGCAGCACCGCAGCTGGGTCAGTGTGTGTGTGTGTGTCTGTCTGCGCGTGCTCCGGGAAGAACACACAATCGGATGTCCTGATCAGTGACAGAGGCAGCTGTGTGCCAAATGCACGAATACATGATCTCCTCACTAGCAAGTGTGAGGAGCCCAGTGCGTCCGGGGTTGAAGGCTGCATCTTGAAACGTCTTGTAAACACGGTCGCTCGTCTTTTCAAGCTCCGTTGCATCGATTCCCCGGCAGACGTCGAGACCACATGACAGCAATCTGAGTAAATCTTACGAGCCACCAGCAAAATCTTGCTTGAAGTACGCCTTTTTTTGTGAGGCAACGAACTCTTCAAACTTCCTTCGTCGCTCATTGAGGCTTGCACCAGCATTCGCTAAAGTGCTAGGGTTGGGCGTCGCACCGTCCAGGAGTCCTCGCAAGTCCTTGACAGCGGGAATAACGTTAAGTTTCCTTGGTTGAGACTGAAGCCAACTGGATGCAGCTGTCTCCGACACGGAGAATGGGTGGTCACTTCGGCCTATGTCAGCGGGAACGTGGCCTATGCAGCAGCTTGAGCCAGAATGGCTCAGTCAATTCGGCACCGGGCTCCCCGGCTGTCTTGGCAACATCAACTGAGAAAGGTGCAAGGCTTGACCGTGATCCATATGTTCTGCCGTGGGAAGGGGGGAAAGAGACGCGAAAGCACGAGTAACACCGGGCCAGCAACCTTGCGAAACAAACGAGGCTCTCCATCATCACTCGGAATTACAAGCGCCGGCTGTCATTACCACCGCTCCACCCTTGTGCAAATGCTGCAATGGCAGAGTGGTGATGAGTGGCGAGAACAAAACGGCATGCCTTGCTGTTGCAGGGGGCTCAGCAATCCGACGACCACGTGATCCCAATCCAATGCAGGCCCGTAAGTGCCTTGAAGCCGGAACCTGTTCTATGTGAGGGGTGACGTGTGTGCTGGGTCACAGGCACAATCACTGCCTCGGCAGCACCAGCCACGTCCACAGCAAAACCACTTCTCACAGACCAAGCAAAGGCCGTCACGATGAGGACCAGCAGGAGGAGGATGAGAGTCACTTCGCCACCGGCCATTGTTGGCCAAAGCGCGACACCGAGTTGGTCCGAGTAGAGGGCCTAACCGGCATCGGTGCGGAGGGATCCTTGAGATCTGGCGTGGCGAAGATGGAGATCTTGGGCCGTCCCAAACGGACTTTGAAACCCAAAATGTAGGCGGCGACCGGGTACATCACTTTTGAGTGGGGGTGAAGGCCCCCGCTGCACAAGTATGGCAATGTTCTTGATCTGAGACGTTCCGCCAACTCGCTTGCGGAATTTGTTTTTTCAGTAGCCTAGCCATTACGGTCTGGGGTATCGACAATCAAGGAAAGCCCACTCCGTCGAAAATGCGCACAGCGCCAGGTAGGAGCCGCATTGCCGTGCTCGAAGAAGAAGAGTCGAAAAAGATGATGACAGTGCTGTTCATCATCATGATGCCGGTGGTGATGACGACGACGACGGTGATGATAGAGATGGTGACGGTGATGGTTAGGATGATGATAATGGTGATGACGAGTATGTTACGATGAACGACCACTGTATTCTGATCCTGATGGTCTGGCCAGTATGATATTCCAGGAAGAGAGGCCTATCAGTAGCATGGTGCTGCAGGTACAAGATGCCAATGCACGCAGAGTTCTCTGCAAAGGAGCAGCTAGATGTTGCAACCTTTGTCTGTTTAGTCGCCATTGGTACAGGTTAACGCCGACCACCTGGTATCAGGAGGATGGCACCATGTACGTGATCGACCGCCAGCACTTCACTGCCTGCTTCAATCGGATCCCATCTCAGTTCGGATGGCTAGCTCATGGCAGTGTAGCGTGAAGCACAACACAACGGCCAACCCGCACCGTGTGAACTCGAAGCTTCGAGGAGAGGGAAGCGCTTCGATGAATTTCTCAGCTTGCTGGAAGAGGCCTCAGGACCTGTCAGCCCAGCCAACAAGCATCAAGGTTGTATCAAGAACAAGCAGAATGAATTCTTCCGTGAGAGACATGCCTGCTGCAGTTGGATTCTTGCACGTTTGCCTGTTATCGGCACATCAAGTTCATGTATGCCGAATGTTTTGCAGGCCCACGAATTCCTGCAGTAACGTGAATTTACGTACAAGCTTGTCTTGCTTGTGACAGGTCCAAATTCTCTCACCACTCTTGGCATCTGAAAGGTTTGAGCTGGCATGCAACGCCATAGGCCAGGACGAGTTGGCAAAGCTTGACATAGCAGAATTTTGCAGTTTTCTTTTGGGAAATTTTGGGAGCCTTCGAATGCCCTGAAGGTCTGGTGGAATTCCAGCCTGGTGAACGGGTGCTTCATCAAGGGCTGATGCGGTCGGCCAAGCTGTGGCCATTCTGCAGCATTGGAACTTTGGTCGGCCCGGACATGCCCATGTTGTCCACGACGCATGAATCAGTTCTGGTCCCGAGGTATGTGATACACTCAGGAACGGGTGTGGCTCCTCGGCGGGTTGCATGATTGACGGAAGCAAGAGGTAGAGCTTCCACAAACGCCGCAGACGGTAAACTCGGATGCTGACCGTGAAGTCGTTTGTGCGAAAGAAGAGAGACTTGAGACGAGAGTGCTTGCCAAGCTGGGGTTCTGACAGTCACTACCCATTTTGAATGCTGTCAGCTGTTCAGGGCGGTATGCACACATGCTTGTTCACTTCCTTTTTCTCTAGGCATGCTAAGTTAGAGTTAATGTCCTCACAAGACTTTTCGTGTCGGGTACAACGCTGCCTAGCACCAGCTCAGGTGAGCTTGGACCAAGAAAAAAATGGGAAGAAGGCTTCCGGCATTTCTCAAGACGCAATTGGAGGTAGCGGAGTCTTGCATGCATGAGGAGAACGAGTTCCTCACCAACCTAAGTCGTGCAGCACATTTTGGTGAGCGGTCGCTGCTGCGTGCTGCGCTAAGCAACACTGAGCAACACGCGTCCCGTTCCATGATCGGCGATGAGTCTGCTTTCCGCAAGAAGCGGATGGTTTGCTACAGTGCAGTCAAGGTGGGGATGCGGCGGCTCCCGTCAACATCGATGCGGGGCCAGATGGTCCCTGGACACACATCCGAGTATTGTTGTTGTGTGCCAGGACGACGATCAGTCGATCAGTAGGCCTCGGTAGGCTCTGCGTGCACCATCCTGCATGGGGTTCCGTGCTCGAGTGTCGAGCAACCACTGCCCAGTGGGAATTACATGTGTGTCTGATCGCAGACAGGTGGCTGTCAGATCTAATGTCTCCTGACTTCCAGAATGTGAGATCTACAGCCGTCGGGGCTTCACTGCGGATTTACGACAGCCAGGAGTGTTCACAAGAGAGTCCCACTTGCTGAAGCAACATATTCCAAAAGGCGAATCTACATCTGGGCTCGCAACATGTTGAAGCCGGGTATGCTTTTGGAGTCGCCCGAGGCATGGTTTGCCTTACTTTCTGGGGTGACACCATCTGCGTCCTGCTGCGAAAAGTGCTGGAGCAGGACTGCAGAGTTTCAATATGTGCGACCGGTAGCTGCGATGAGCTGATGAAGGAAAATTCAGTGGCGCCGAGTCCATTCTCCGACCTTAAGGATTGTGGACTCGCAACTGATCGCCGTGCCAGCGCAGAGAGCCAATCGCGCAGTGTTGAAAGGAGTGGTGGGTACGAAAGGCGAGGGGGTTCAAGAGTCGCGATGACGGCGTGAACCGCTGCTCGGCTGCGAGCTCCATGGTCCCTGTGCCCTGAATGTCTGTGACGACTTTCGCTTCGAGGTACGATGATAAGCAGCCTGGTTGCAGTTTCGGATAGCACAGGGGCCTTGCAATGGTTGCATGCTGGCAGACGGCAGTGTTCGCACCTGTCGTGCTTGTAGCTCGACCGGCTTCGTACAAGGCTGGGACAGGATGCAAAGTAACTGCCAGGTGGGCAGCCTTCAAGCTATCGTGACTGGCTGCAACTATCTGCAACTTCACCTGGCAGGTCGAGTTGGATGAGCTCACCAAAGTGTGTGTTCTCGGGAAAGGTGCATATGGCCAAGTTTGTCTGGTCGAGGAGTCGGTCAAGAATTTTGAGCATGGATCGCAGCAAGAACAATGCGTGGGAAGCTTTACCCATTCTTCCTCCACCGCACCAGGACTCGATGCGCGGACAGCGTTACGCGCTGAAGGCACTGTCGAAGGGGCACGTGGCGAAGCAGGCACCGTGTCCACACATGCCAGGCAGAGCATGTCAGCCATCTTAAATGTGGCAGATGTTGCCAGGGCACGCAGCGGTTGGTCAATGGCGAACGTGGCTCACGTGCATCTGTTATTGGCAGCTGAGACCGTTCTGCTCGAAACATCTCGAAGGGACATTCAAACAACAGACGCCGTGAAAGATGTAAGTGAGGCTTCTCAGGGCAGTTGCTGGTGTTGTCTCCGGCTTTCTTGACCCTGCAGCGCGTGCTAGTGACGCATGTAGTGGTCAGGCGCTTCCCCGCGTCACATTCGCATGCAGGTGAGATACTGTCTATGATTGACAGCAGCTTTGTCATCCGACTGCATCGGCACCTTCGCAGCATGTCTCCGGGTTCCCTGTTTAAGGTGTGTAGTTTCGTGATACAGGGCTTCTGGTTTTAGTTTACTGTGTTTTTGTTTTTTGTTGGGGGGCCGGGGGGGGGGGGGGGGGCGTTCATGTTTTCAGGACCTTTTGGGTATGAGGCTTTGGGGCTTGCGGAATAAAGGGCGTAGAGCAGGCTTAGGGCCGATTCGGATTCAGGATTTCAGGCTGTTCCGAGTTAACCACGGTTTCGGCTGGCCACATTGGGTTAACATCATGTCTTCCACAGAATGGCAGCGGCAGCGCTGAGAATTCCAAACCCATCAAGTGCGGCCAGCGAGTGTTTTGCAACATCAACCAGCTTGGGCGTAGAAGCTTCACCATCATGTCGCACAACCTGGTCAGACAAGATGTCACATGGCAGCACTGCCCACATCCGAATCTCTCCATTCCTCGACCTGAGAGATCGTGATCAGCTTTCTCTCGCTCTTTTTCAGCATGCCTGTGTCGGTATGATGTAAGGCATGCCCAATCCTTCTAGGGTTCACAAGGATGCGTTGAGAGGTTTCAGGGTATCCTAAGGCGGAGGATTTCGGGTTTGGGACATCAGACGTCGAGTACCTCGTCAGACCGATGGCCCAGTTTTACCAGGATGCACCCGGGATGTGTCGACGCAATGTTATTGGGGTGGTCATCGTATTCATCTGTTTGTTGTTGTTGGCTGTGAATAAGTTTATATTATGATTATTACTCGTATTGTACAACAAGAAACAAGCCCCGTCGCTAGCACGACATGGGCCTGTGTGCTTGCTCACCTAGACCTGCTGTCGTAGGGCCAAGGCTGCGGGGGAGTTTGGACAGGGTGCCGTGTCCAGGCCGTTCTGAACACCGGGCTCAGGGTTTTCGGTTGTCGAATCTTATTTCTGGGGTCTTCTTCGAAGTTCGATGCCATTTCGATTTTCTGATCTTTCTGTTGGTTTTCTATCACAGCTCAACCAGAACCCTCGAATCAATGTCTTAGGGTGCCCGTGCCAATGTGCAAGATATTTGATGCTTCTTGCTTCGAGAATCCAAGGACGTACAAGGATGCTCAACACGTGTATTTCCTCTTGGAAGCGGCGCTGGGTGGTAGCTTGGTGCAGGCGAACACATTTGCGCATTTAAGGGCTTTGGGCGGTTTGGTCATTCCAATGGCTTGCTGCCAGGTGGTCAAAGACCACCCAGAGATTTTCGTGCAGGATGCACCCCGAGGCATTGGAGCTTTTGCAACGGGAGAATGTCGCAGGAACTCAGAAAGATCGAACCAGATGGACCTGCAAGAGCGAACCTTCACCCAAGAATCATATGAAACAAGTCAGAAAGAAACATGATAGCTAAGCAGCATCTACTCATCCGGTATAGAATGGTATGGAGCTGCCCACTGACATGTTGTTTATCATTGAGGCATGAATTCTGGGGTTCAGACAAGATTGAACGGGGAATATTAGAGTTACGTCGCATGTTATCGGACTTGAGTTCTGCAAGTACTGGTAGAACGGTGAATTTTCTAATTAAGTGGAGGGCGGCCGAGCACTATAAGCCGCAGAGCCAGTCTGACAGTGCTATTTACATCCGTAGTTTCATAAATTAATACAAAAAACACACTCCTCCCCTCCACCCCTCCGGTCACCTCCACCCTCCACCCCTCCACATCCCTACCCCCTCTCCACCCCTCCACCATCCACCTTCGCCAGCCTCCACCACCCCCCCCACCTCCACCTCCACGTCTCCCTCCGTCACACAACCCCTCCTCTCCCTCATCCACTCCACAATTTTCTCACACACTCCAGAAACCCAACAGATTTTTTCTGAGTTGTTGGTCTTGGCTCGCACTCCGACTCGAGCTGGCGATGCTCCTGTGAGGTCTGAGCTTGCTGCTCTTTTTAATGCATTTAAGAAAATGATGTCTTTGCAGATTCCACAGTGTGCCGTTTGGAAAAATCCCCGGTCTATGGTAGTAGCTTGCAGATCTTGCAGCTCCTAGCTCCTGAAGACAGAAGCAAGCGGCTTGGACGGGGGCAAGCAGGGATGCGAGAAGGACGCGGGAGGAACGATAGCAGCAAAATTGAACTAGTCTGTGTGTACCAAATCGTCCTGTCAGATTCTTCGTGAACTGACATCCGTCAAGGCGCGTACACCATGTTGCGTATGCTTTGATTGCATACGCCAGCCAGCGCCCGTGAACCGCACAATACACCAGGCAATCTGCAAATCGTCCGCCCTCGCACAAGTACACAAGACCTTGTCTGTCTGGTTTGATCGGCCAATAAAATGGCCAGATATGTTTCGTGAGTTATGCTTCGAGGCCACTCTGGAGCCTTCTATGCAGCCTGTGTTATTGCTGCCGCGTCCTTACAGAGCAGCGCTGTCGGCTTCGCGACAAGTGGAAGAGCCCGTCTGCAGACATCTCGAAGGCGCTCGAGCACCTGCACGAACGTCGAATTGTCCACCGTCCAAGCCTCGATGTTTGGAGATCTCCGAGATATGTCGGGCCTCCACAAGTGATCAGGTGACATCAAACCAGAAAATGCATTGCTGGATGAGCATGGATATGCCAAGGCTTGGGACTCAGGCTTCCGATCTTGCCGACAGCAGACTGCATTGTTGCTTTTTGCAGGGTTGACATCTGAGTGTTGCACAGTTCAGAGAGATGTAGAGGTCTGTGACATGGGTTTCGCGCGTTTTGTGCTCAGCAAGACCAACACCCTGGCCACAAGCTTAGCGAGTCTTTTGCAACTTCGTCTGCCGCGTGAATTGATAGACGTCGTTTCTTGAATGTATGCGCAGAGTGAATGGCTGCTTTCCGGCTGTCTCGTAGGTCGGAACACCTGACTACATGGCACCAGCCGCTGCCTTTACAAGCTTTGGCATGTCGTGCTGTCGTTTTTGCTGGGTTAAGACTGAAACATGTTGGGTGCAATGTCGCGATGCTCAGCCGAGGAAGTCATTGACTTTCCTCATACACACAACAGCAGCGTTGACTGGTGGGCACTAGGAGTTCTTACTTACGAGATGCCTGCCTGACATTGGTGCAGCATGAACATGCGCACGGTCCCTGACTTGCTTTCGCCGGCTGAAGCCTTGAACACGCCCTGATCTCAGGATCTTGAGCGGGCATACGCCTTTTACCGATGAAGGCGTTTCAGACCCTATGGAGAGGCTGCTCGCGATCCGGCGCAGCCAGGAAATCATGTAGAATGGGTGCCAGTTGCGCGACACTTTTGACACGCTGACATGCACTGCAGTGAGTCTCGTGCGAGGAGCAAGGACCACTTCAATATCCTTTTCACTTCCCACAAGTCGCGAAGGGTTCCTGGCCTTCTCTGTTGTAAGTGGCTGGTGAGAGCCACGGAAGTGGTGCTGGTTCTGCAAGAGGTTTTGTTGCCCAGCTGCTGCAGATCCGGCGAGCTCCTCAGGGGTGAAAGTCACATACGATCGCCATGGCTTAAGCCCTGGTCCCCGCCCCAAGTGGTCAGTCTATGGGAGGCCACACGAGCGCCTCGGAGCTGGACGAGGCGGAGCTCAGGATGTTCGAGACCATGCCATGTTCAGGACCTTCCTGGGAGTTTCTGGAGGCTTGTTTGAGAGCAGAGTATAGACAGCGTTGAGCCGATCGCAAGGACCCTCGCTTTCGATTTTAAAGCTTTCCACGAGCAGAAGCTCCCGACTCCGTTCCACAAGCAGTGGAGTGGCCTGGCATCCATGTGCTTTACGGATGTTTTTCTTTCTGCGAGCCAAGAATCAACAGATGAGCACACGTGGGCCATCTAGATAGGAGTGTCGCTGGGCAGTTTAGAGCGGACAAACTCTTGTGCTGGTTTGGCAATCAATGGGCTGATGCCCATGCGGCTGCCCGAAAACGGTCCGGACTGCCATTCCGTGTCGATTCAAAGCTTGTCTTTGGAATGCAGTCAGGCACACCTCACAACGCAAGGGTAGAGAACATCGCCGACCCACTGAGTGCAACCCTGACTTAACAGGTTCGGCAGTGCGAGTCTTATGTGGCGCCCGTGCTACAGCCACAGAGCTACGCTTGACAGAACATATGCTGATGGTATAGACATGTATAGACTGCGCAGCGATCCTGCCATAAGCGTTGATCACAGAATGAATAAACTTGCAGTGCTTCCGTAAGTTTTGTTTTGAAAGGCTATCCAGAGCACTTCTTCACGGATGACTTTGGGCTGGATCGTGGGCAACTGGGGTTGGACACATCAGACAGAGACCTGGCAATGTTATCAGTTGTTGTCCTTGCCCGATGCTCCCTCCCAGGTTTGCCCCTCCTCCTCCTCCTCCTCCTCCTTGCATGTTGTCACTTACGAGAACTGAATGTTGTGTGTCACGTGTTGCCAGCTGGCAACGTTGACTATCTCAATGTTGCAAGGCTTGTTTATCCCATACAATGCAGATCCGTCGGACGACTGGGATGCCAAATTCTGATGGGAGGCACATAGCAGCTGCATTCTTGATATTTCTTGTTGTTAGTGAGTGCTCGTCGCAATGCGAAGAGCGGACTCATTTCTTGTATGAGACCGTAAAATTTCTTGCTGATGGTTCAAGATCTTTATGGACTGAGACTGCAGGGAAGACAATGAACGGATTCGACAGCACCCATGCCATAGTTCTGTGGACCATCATTCCACTGCATCGTGGCACTACCGCATATCACGGGTGTGCAACGCTTGGCGAAGCCAACCTTTGATTTCGTCTTGTGCCTGTTTTCCGGTCCTTTGCAGCTGTAAAGCAGCCCGCAGTTGTGTGAGACCTTTAGTGGTTGGATGATGCAACTCTCACATTCTGTGGCTTCAGGGCTACGTGTCTTAGTCCGCGGTGCGCAGGCACCATGGTGCACGAAAGTGGGATTCTGGTCTTCTGATGGTTTCCCGTGTGAGGACATGCGAAGTCAATGCTACCAGCTCGTCATTTCGTGCACTGACCAATTTCCGTGCACTGACCAATTTCCGGAGCCAGCATCGGTGTCTCCAGACCCACATCAGTTGTCAAAATGATGCTTCGTGTTGCAAGCAGTGCGATCTTGCAGTCAATGGCATTCATTGCGTGAGCTTAAAGTTGCAACGTTGACAGTTTCGCGAAGCCATGAACATGTTAGAACAAGTAGAACCACCGGACCTCGGAACAGGACATACATCGATCATAAGCTGAGACTGTGGAATTCATCGTTGCGAAGGTGAAACTTGCCATCGTCCGAAGCCATGCTGGTGAAGGCAAAGCCCTTCCAGAGGCTGAGAAGCTTGTTTTTGCTCTATGTATGTTCTTGTGGAGTCGGGGTCAGCGGTTCGTTAGGCATGAAGGCTGAGTCAGGATCACGGGCTTCATGACAAGAACCGCCTTTCAGCTGCCCGGATCCATTCGCAAAAAAGGCAACAATTATGTCGTGGTGCTTATGGCTTCTTGTTGGTTGGGTGGGAGGGATTGGTTTCGACATGTTTCGACACCACCCGGTGACAAGGCAGCTGTGGCGGCATCTGCGGCGCTGCAGCTCCTCGCAGGTGACAGTGCGCAGAGCCAGCAAGATTCAGCAAGATGTTTCTGAAAGACGGGTGCAGTGTGTTGTAGTGATCTTTAGCGACTTGCGCTTTCGGCATCTTCTGGCTTCGTGGTCCTCGCAGACTTGACTTATGGAATTTCCCTTCTAATAACCTGGATGCATCCCGTGCAGCGATAGCTTTTACAATATGATACTGCATTGTATCATAGTAAGATCAGAGTATATTATACCGTACAATACGATGCGATGCCATGCCATGCTATAACAATGCTACGCGATGCTACATTAATTTACGCTATGCTATGTTATGCTATGTTACATCTTCTGAGGTTGAATTAGGTTATACTATGTCATACTATGCTTTATAAAAAACTATTCGATGTTATACGACGTGATGTTGCTGTCGCTTTGTCGCTGCTGCTGCTGCTGTTGTTGCTGTTGCTGTTGCTGTTGCTGTAACTGTTGCTGTTGCTGTAAGCCTCTCGATTCAGGCGAGGTCAGGCGCAGTATAGTTTGCCTCCTTCCTCGTTAGCCATGACGTTCGTCAGTGCCTGAGCTGCCCCGGTCCCAAGTCCGCAGAGGGGAGGGTTGTCAATTTGCGCAGCCGACAGGAGCTGTGTTCAAAAAGGGCGCAGCGAAAAAGCACAGTGATCTGACCAAAGCCTGTACACCGGTTCCTAAAGGCAAGGCTAAACTATCTTTCCAGGAAGCGGTAAGAGCTGCTCAACAGACTGGCAGTGCAAAAAAAACCCTAGTTTGGCGGAGCTTGGAGGTACTCCGGCTCAACCAACATCTATACCCCGCACAAGTCGCGAATTGAAAGCTGGATTTCAAGGGGACAAGGTAGCTGAGTATCATGGAACGCAGGCTCATTGACCACTGCAGTCTGGGAAGAGTTACTCTCCGTCTTGCAGACACCTCCGTACGTCGGTAAAGATAGCTCTCATCCAGGAAACACACTTGCGAGGAAGCTGGCAGTTCAGCAAAGGTGACTGGCACATCGTCAGCTCAGGATCCCATGACGAAAAAGGGGCTGGGGCACTTATCACGGTCCACAACTCCCTTTGTAGGGCAAAGGATCTCCGTTTTAACAAAGTCATCCCAGGGAGGTTGCTTCATGTGAGAGTTCCAGGAACAGACATCTCCGTTGATGCTTCCTCCTTTTACCAGCTTGTATGGCGCTCTAAGGAGACAGTCTCTTCCAATAAAGAAAGACGGTCAGGGACACTTTCAGCTCTCGGTAAGTCCCTGAGTAAAGTGCCTCGCCGTAGTACACTGCTGGTTTCAGGCGACTTCAACATGCCTCTGTTAACAGATGGAAAGCACATTGGCCCAAGCAAGATCACAGCAAGCAGCGCGGATCTAAGGAGCTGCAGCAGCTGCTGGAGCGCACGTTCAGAGCAACTCCGTATCGCAGATAGATTTTGTGCTGCTGCGACAGGCACAGGCCAAGGATCCGGGAAAGGCCTGCCGCCCCTCAGACAATTCGAAGTTGCTTGATGGCGACCGTCTATCATCAGGCTCTGGTCGCCTCCGGACAGGACATACTCCCTGAAGCGGCGCTGGAAAACCTGCTTGGGATCATCAAGGACAATCAAGGAGAGGCGGGTCATCTTCACAGCACAGCTCTTGAATCTCTGGGTGGAGGTACTCCCCAGAGACTAAGTGTTGGCCCTGCATGGGCACGTCGCTACGGTCAGCGGAATAGATGAGTGGGGCGAGGTCCGCCAAAGGCGGATCGACTTGCTCAATGCGGGAAGGGAATCCACTCCGGGTCAGAAGAGGCTATTTCGCCGAAGATTCGCTCTTCACCATCGCGGTAGCTCAACGGGAGCACCAGCGGGTGAGCAGGCAGAGTAGTTGGAAAATCCCCTTCTTTTGTTAATTGGATCTGGTGGGGGGGGTCCCCGGGGGGATTTCCAATATCCATTTCCATTTATTGGGGGGGGCTAGCATAGGGGCGGAGGTAGAAATCTTGGGGCCCAGACGTTCGGGATTTTTGCTTCCATTTATTGCGTTGGTGCAACCCGCGGTGAGCTTAGATTTGAAATCCCAGCATAAAAGGGATAGAGTGTTTCTGGGGCCTGATCAGTCTTATTCTGGAGTCAAGCCAGGTTAAGAATTGAGGCCGCGAGCAAGACACGTGGAGTCAGGGAAAGAAGCAGGCAGCAAGGAATCGAAGCAAGTGTCGGAGTTATGCCAAAAAACATCAGAACTGGCGCTGCAGCGTGCATCTTGAACCGGATTTTGGATCACATGAGAAAGGCATATGCGAGGCAGACAGGCAGCGAGACAGATCGAGCGTCAATCATGTCGGTTTCTGTCACCATCCTTGCGCATGCAGTCCCCCACGATTTCCATTTTCCACGTTGCTGGGGCGACTTCGGGAGGATCCCCCCAGGAAAGCCGCAGGGGGGGACGTCCGGAAAGCGACAACTGTCACGAGGATGGGCGGCCCGACCCCCCCACGATTTCCATTTTCCACGTTGCCGGGGCGACTTCGGGAGCATCCCCCCAGGAAAGCCGCAGAGCAGCAGCCCGGAAGCCGGAAAATGGAAAGGGTCGGGGGGGGACGTCCGGAAAGCGACAACTGTCACGAGGATGGGCGGCCCGACCCCCCCACGATTTCCATTTTCCACGTT